AAATTACTAAAAGTCATGTTAATCTAGATTTTTTGTCAAGCAATAAGTAAAATATTACTTATTATACAGTATATAAAATTTAGTGTTTTGTACACAATATGTTGCTTTAGTAACAATTGTTTTACAAATAAGTATCAAATGTCGACTTCTAATGACTAAAACATAATTTAACTAAATTTAAGACTCGTTTAAAATTCTGTTGAGATATGAATTGATCAAAAGGTTGATCGGATCCAAGCGTTTCCTTACTTGAGTCCACGCTCTGAAATAGGGATACATTTTCACAAAATCGGACGCATTCTCTCTGTGGGCCTAAACAACAATCAATGGAAAACAATATTTTATTTAAATCTCTAACAAATTCAATGCAAACATACTTTAGCCCAATGGGGTCTTCCGCCGGACTCTTTCATAATCTTCTCGTATTGATCCCAATAAGCAGAATGCGAGACATCCTTACCATAAGGTCTATACATAATTATGTTAATGAATGTGGAGTCGCGTCCGTACGCCGGACTCAGGTATATGTCGTCCTCTTTGACGAACCGGACTTCGACCGGAAAGTGGACGTAAATATTGGGCGTCCTTTCTATCCAACTCTTCAACTCCAACAACACTTTCGCTGTTTTCTCTCTGAATTGTTATTAAAAAGTATTGATTAAAAACTGGACTTCAAATCAATTAATTGTATCACAAATACCTTGGAATAGACCACTCGTTGACGTGTTGTTTGAAAAGACATTCAAAATTGAAGACTTTATGACTGATATCAATGCGCTCTTTCGGTCGCGAGTATTGCAACCAAAACCAGATTCGGTTGATATACGGGACTAATGGCTGGTAGTAAGTGCTCAACCAATAGGCAAATTCAAGAGTATAGTAACCAATGGCGTAATCCCAGAACCAATTACACGCTCTCTGGGATGCCGTGTATTTTGTCACTTCTTTATTGTAAATCCTATTATTGTTTTGAACGGAAACACAGTCTGTGTGTGGAAACCATAGGAACCGGTAGTGATCACAACTCTTCAACTCTTCGTCCAACTCTTCCAGCACTTCACCCAAAGTGGACGGATAGCTGTATTCATAGAGAAGGAACGCGGGCTCGCATTGAAAGGTAAGTCTTATGATAATACCGATGGCACCCAAACCGGACAGCGCCGACAGAAACACATCACTGTTTTCATCGCGCGAACACTTTATAGTATCGCCAGAAGTGGTGATTAACTCCATGTCGAGTACATAATCGGCCAAAACACCGAACTTAGCGCCCGATCCGTGGGTTCCCGTACTTATCACACCTGCGATCGTTATGTCGGACACCGAACCCAATCTAACGTATAGTTAAACAATAAAATTACTTTCAAATATGCGATAGAGTTGTGGTTCCGCAGGACATACACCGGAATCGCCAGTTTATGGCTATCGAGATAAGCGTTGATTTCGGTCAAAGTGATGCCCGCCTCAACCCGAATGGTATTTGTCTCGCAATTAATGCTCAAAACGTTATTAAAAAATCTCAAACTAATCATATAATCATCGGTACAGCAGATGTCTGACGGGGAGTGACCGCAACCAACCACTCGTATCTTCTTATTCGTACTTTTGGCCAAAAATATGATCTTTGAGTTTCAGAGACGACAGAGAAGAGACCATAAGAAACACATTTCGGTTATCAATGGATTACAAATCAGATTCAATTCAAGGATTAATCAATACTTCTCTGAGTTCTTCGACATCTTTGGGCACGAAATACAGATTTGGTTCACAGGAGAAGGTTTGGGACCAATTCGTGAACTTTATTTGCTTCACTCCTTTCGCCTGACATTCAAAACAAATTTCAATTCAATTCACAATTAATTGCAATCAAATGTAAAATCAATTTGCAATCCAAGAAGTGATGGCAAACTCCAGAACTCACTTCTACTCCGAAGTCACCCATCATTTGGCGGCCAGTAATGAGTGGACAGACAATCAGACAATGAGTGGTGTGTTTGCGGCGATCACTTCAACAATCGGATCCGATTAGCAGATAATCAATGGTATATCTAATCAAAGACAGGCATAACATGTGATCAATACTTGAATTCAAATGTAATTCTTATGCAATGTTTACATCAATTGGTGTCCAAAATGTGGTCATAAATAACGGCAACAAAACATAGCATTGAGTGACGAAATCATGTTTCATGTGTTGACCATTGGATCGGCTCAAGAGTTTTGACATCACTTTTCAATTGTCTTTTTTAAACCACTTTTTAATCATTTAATTGTATTTTAATTGCATTTTTATTATTGTTTTGTTTTATGTTTTGATTAGTTTTTAAATGATATGTTTTGTGGCTTTAATTGACGTCCGATTAAATTTGTAATGCATTTGACTGTCATTTCGGTCATTGTTTTGGCCGCCAATCCATTGATAGTATTGTCCGATAATTATAATTATGATCTCAACGAAGACACCACCGATTGGACAGATTTTGGCGATATGTTTGGTTATGACGTCCACTCCAAGACCAATGTCAAAGATGAAGACCTTAATGACAAACAAGACAATCAGGACTGCAAGTGTCCGCCGACGACCGCTTCCGATGCCGTCTCTGAGGGCCCGAAAGTGGCCACAAATTGTGACCATATATTGACTAAACTGGAGGTTTGCCACAAAGACGTGGAAACTCTCAACCGATTGACACAAACCGAGTCTTGTAATCAACGGATCGTTACATTCGTCAGTCGAGCGGTTCTTAAGTTCGGCCATAAATTGAATGCATTTGACAAACAGTTAACTGAAGACAAATATCTGGAGATATCGACCTATGTTTACGCCAATGGACTTCAACTGATCCAAGAGTTTGTGCGCCAAAACCAAATGGTCTGCGAGAGAGTGGATGAGTTTGAAGACACCATATATGATGTGATCGACAAGTTATATGTCGTGAATCAGCGAAACAATCATCTCTTCTATGGTTTCATTGAAAATCATGGCTTTAAATGTTTAGTTATGTTATCGTTTATATTAGTCATACTATTCTTATATAAACTCTATTTAATGCCATTATTTGCTAAATTGTTTGAAACAATCATCTCTTCTATGGTTTCATTGAAAATCATGGCTTTAAATGTTTAGTTATGTTATCGTTTATATTAGTCATACTATTCTTATATAAACTCTATTTAATGCCATTATTTGCTAAATTGTTGACAATTTATATCACAATATTTGTGGTATCGTTTGTGTGGCAATGGATACAACTCTATCAGACAGAACTGTCCAAAAAGCATTTGACCGTCTCTTCAGCGCCGTTAGAATGCATTCATTTGACTAATGCTAATGAGATGACCATCTCATCCATATTTAGCTCTTATGTCCGACGGTTTACATCAATGGACGCCAAATGCCAAGAATATTACAGAGCAATAATGGTTGACCCGTTTTATGATGTAAATCCATTGATGGCTATCAGTCACACCCTATCGACAGCCCTTTTTGCGCCGATCAGTATATTCTCGGATCAATTGGGCAAAGGATTGTCGCAATTTTATAGTCATTTCAATTTGTTTGAAAAAATCTTGGTTACAGTTCCTCTCATGATAATGCTCTCATTCTTCCTTATCTTATACATGGGTTACACAATAAGTCTACCCTTTTTTCTGGGCTCTATATCCAGAGCGCCGCAAACTCCAGCAATTCATTCCACCTCTGAATCTCATCCAATGAAAAGTTTATTAAATACCCAACAAATTGTGAATTCAATTGATTTTAATGACAGACCGTCTCGAAGTCGATACAAGAAGAATGCGATAAGTGATGGCAATAACGACTCAGACAATCAGACAGTACACAGTGGCGCACAAAGTACGCGAAGATCGAGATCAATGGCTTGTTCGGCGCGCCTTTAAATCTTATCTCGTTTTTTATTGCGAGAGAAAAAC